ACAAACCCGTGTCCCCTGCATCAGCAGGCCGACTCTCAACCACTGCACCACCAAGCAAGCCCTCGAAATCTATTTTTAATAATGTTTCTTAACTTTTAATAATGCTTTTTTTCCCTAAATCTATTTTATATGCAATTAAAATAGTTTCAACAGCTGTGTTCGGTGACTATTTGTGTGGTACATCATTTTCCATTCTTCCACTTTCAATATTTTTGTTCTCATATGTTTTAGGTATACCTTTTGTAACCTCCATAAAGCTGGATTTTCTTCTCTTAATCCAGTCTAATAATCTGTCTTCTAAACTTTAGTTAGTCCATTTACATTTAATTTCATTAACTGTTATATTTGGTTTTATTTCTACCTTTTTTTTTTTTTTGGTGTGTGCTACTTATTTGTCCCATTTTCCTCTAATTCACTCTCTCCCTTTTTTCCTTCCTTCCTTCCTTCCTTCCTTCCTTCCTTCCCTCTTTCCCTCCCTCCCTCCCTCCCTCCTTCCTTCCCTCCTTCCTTCCCTCCTTCCTTCCTTCCTTCCTTCCTCCCTCCCTCCCTTCTTTCTTTCTAACTTGACACCTGTATTGTATTTCAATCACCTAGATGGTAATTCTATACAATTTAAATGCATTTTTAACTTGAGTTTCATGTTAAAAATGACTGGTATAACTAGATCACTGGGGTAGGAATTGCTTCCCAGTGGGTTATACGGGGCAGCTTCTGAGGAGGCCCCCAGGTCATGGTTCAGATGAAGTCATCTGAACTTGGAGGTGATGAACCTGGCATGGGACCCATGACCTTGCAGGGTGTGGTTGTGAGCCCCTCCTGGGAGAAGAGGGCTCTGTGAAAACGCCCTGAGGGGCATCTATCATGCTGTGCACTGGACGACTTTGCACTTCTGCCCTTCCTGGGACTTGAGGCCCCCAACCCCGTGTGGTCCCCCAGCAGGGGCATGGTGAGGAAGCCTGGGCACTGGACAGCAAGGACTTGAACCTGGCCAAGGCACATGAGACCCAGCCCTGAGCCTATAAACTCATGGTGTTCAGAAAGGCCTTTGAGGAGAAGCAGCCTATTTACCACCAGACAATTCACAAGGGAGAAGAGCCCCAAACGTGTCGGGAGTGTGAGGGGTCCTCAGAATTACACACCAGAGGAAAGCCTTCAAGTTCACTAACACAGCTCGGCAGCCAGCTGAGAAGTGCACAGGGGTGAGGAACTCTGGCTGAGAGGCCATCACAGAGCTGCCTGATCTTATGGCTTTTCAGGATGAGCTTGAGGTCTGAATTTTTATGTGAAATCTCCTAATTGTATAAAATGTTGGCATTGTTATTTTATAGCTTTACTGGGGTATCAGTAACATCAAATAAACTGCATGTGGATAAATAGCCTACATATTGACATACATATACATCCATGAAGCCAACACCACAATTAAGATACTGAACAATTTCTCATCCCCAAAGATTCCTCGGGCCCTTTTTAGTCCCATCCTCATGCTCTACTTGCCTCTACCCAGTCCCTAGGCAACTACCGATCTATTTTCTATCACTGTAGATTGTTTGTGTTTTCTAGAATTTCACATAGCTGGAATCACGCAGCATCTCCTTTTTTTGTTTGGCTTCTCTCACTAGCATAATTATTTTGCGGACCATCCGGGTTGTAGCGTGTGTCAACAGTGACTTTCTTTTTATCACTGAGCAGTAAACCACTGTATGGCTCTTCCAGTTTGTCTACACACTCACCTGTTGTTGGACATGTGGGTTATTTCCAGTGTGCACTGTTACAAACAAAGCTGCTATGAACATTCATGTACCAAAAACAAGTTTAATTTTAGTCACTGTCTTTCCTTTCTGGTGAAAAGTACAAAGATCCTAGAATGCTTTAACTTTATGTTCGATGCTTATATGCAATATTGTCCAGAAACTTTATTTATCTTTACATATATTTCCATTAATCAAATATTATCATACTGATTGTTACATTTTGTTTAGGTTTCTCTACATTGTTTCCAATCATTCCTTCTCGCATTTCAGGCTTTCCTTCTGGGATCATTTTCTTTCTTTCTGAAATAATTTAACTTAAAAATATTTGAAAGGTTTAGATGGAAGTTAATTCCCTGAGTTTCTGTTTACCTGAAAATATCTTTTTGGTTGTTGATCTTGTCTTTTAAAAGTTTTTCTTAAATACAATTTTAGTTTAGCATTTATTTTCTTTCAACATTTTGAAGATATTGTTCCTGTGTCATCTGCCTTCTGATGTTGCTGTTGGTTTAATAACTATCGATTGTTTCTCCTGTGTAGTAACCAGTCTTCTTCATTCTGCTGCTTTTACAATCTTTCTGTTCTGCAGTTTCAGTGATCGATTTAGGTGGGGCTTTCATTTTATTCCTACTCCTTGGGATTCTTGAGTCTTAAAAATTGTGGAAAGCTCTACTTCATTATCTTTTAAAATATTACCTTTCCACTATTCTCTCTATTATTTTCTTCTGGAAATCTAATTTTACCCACCATATTGTTTAACTTCTCTTTTATATTTTAAATCTGTTATATTTTCTGCCTGCATTATGAGTAATTTTATCAGGGCAGATTTCAGATCTAAGTTAGAATTGCTCTTTTACCTACTTACCTGCTGTTTAGCCCATCTAGTCAATTTCGTGTCAATTATTATAGTTTTTAATTCTAGAGTTTCTCATGTTATTGTGTGCATGTATGTACATGTGGGCATGCATGTTTGTGTGTGTGTATTTAATCTTTTAATCTGACTGGATATTTCTGATAGTCTTTTGTTTTTTAATCATATGTGTGCTTTCATTTTTTAAACACATTAAGCATACTTATAGTCTTTCCCAGGCAACTTTAATCTCTGTGTTCTTTCCAGGTTTGAACTCTGCTTGCTCTCATTCATGATGGCATGCTTCCATCTGTGATTTTTCTGATTGTTAGGTCATGCTCTGTGAAACTTTATCTGAGGGAATTATTTTAGGACTCATTTGAGAGCACAGGTCTCCTTGGGAGGATGTGGGTTAGTCTCAGCCCAGTTCCTGGCACTGCCAACTCATGGTCACCCTAAACAACATTCTAGACTCAGGACTTTATATAAGTGTACACAGAAAGAGTAAAATTTAGCCCCAAACTCAAGTAAATATGGGTCTGTGCTTACAAATTCTTAGGAGTAACATTTCTACCTAGAGTGAAAACAAAATAGGCAACTACCCCCAGCACCTTCCTCTCTCCACTTGATCCCAGGAGGAAATCATGTTTTCCAGGAGGTTCTTCATGTAGAATTCTATGGTTTCACTTTCCACCTTGACGAGGCCCTAAACTCACCAGCAGTCTCCAGCGTTTGCCTGGTCTGAGGCTGTAGCCCCCGGTGGTGAGTGGCTTTAGCTTACACAGTTTCCTTTCTGGAGTCTAGCCTTCTCTTACTTTTGGGCATATGACCTTTTCCTTACTATGTTGTCAGCTCAGCTGTTCTTTAAAAATATGTGTTTGGAATTCAATTCACTACTTTTATATAGTGTGCACTGCAAGGATTTTTTAGGGTGTCAGTTCACCATGCTGTCCGAAATAAAGCTTCAGTATAAACTGATTTAGACGAAGCTCTGTATACTGATAAATAGGCAAGGTGAATATTCAACAAGCAAAGGTCGTGATTCTCAGCCCTAGCAACACAGTAGCCCTGTGACCAATTTGAAGCTAAATCCTTAAAGATGCAAGATTGTCTATCCTGCTGTGCTGAATCCTCCCAATTAATATGAAGGTACACAGAGGCAGTCAGACTGTCAATGACTGAAGTAGATTTTCAAAGGAGCTCACATTGCTGTAAAGATGATATGGAGATCATAATGTGACACGCACCAGAGGATTTAAATTATTATTAAATGTAATTATATCTACATGGCATGTATACTATATGTATACTACATCCACATATATACACGCAAATACAATTATACTTAAGAAATCTGTCCTACAAAGTACGTATACTTTAATTTCATCCCAATAGCAAACTTGCAAGACTGTATTGTGCCTCGATATCGGCGAGTGACGCACAAGTCATTATTTTTCTTCAGGATTTGCATTAATAAAGAGCTGTTCAGTGTCCCTAGTCCCATTTGATGGAGAGTGATCATCACCGCTGCTCACTGCTGTCTCTGTAGCCTTGCAATCATCCAGCAGATTGGAGAGAGAAGACACATCTAATGATCCTAGCTCAAACACTCTACCTGTTGCTGTTGACAGCCTTTGTTCCTTAGAGAAGATATGAACTGTCAGCTGGCTGTGACAGTTTGTGAACTAACCTGACATTTGTGTTGGCGCCGTAAGAGTATTTACAGTTCAGAAAATACATATAACCAGATTATGATGGACCCAAGGATTTTCAAAGTAAAAAGTATAACAGACAAGTTATAAACATGACCATAATGATAAAATTATTCTAAAAATAATTTCAGTGCTTAGGCTCTCGTTCCAGAAACACCTTCTCTATACGAAACACATGGTGTATGTTTGCAAAGGCAAAATGGATTGCAGAGAACAGAGGATGGGGATTCCATTTACAGCTGGTCATTCATTCTAAATTTTCTAACAGCCCACTATGCCAGAAAACTGCTAAGAAAGGTAGAAAGAGCAATTTTGAATGATATGGAATGTAAATGTAAAATATCACAGCATTAGGAAAAAGATGAACATTATAGCTTTGTTGTTTTCTTTTGTCAGACTCTGAACAGGATCTTCTTTATATTCCATGAACATCACCTTGTGAGGAATTTAAATTGTCATGTTTCAACATAATCACCCAAAGTGGTTAAGTCTCTAGGAAAGTGACACTGGAAGGCAATGATACAGGCAGAATTTTTCGTGAATATTATGAACACTTTTGAATCTTATAACACTTTTTGTAAATATAAAAGTGGATGGGAAGAATCAATTAGTGTTTTGTCTCTAATCTCATTTCCTAGTAAACACTGGAGATGCCATAATGAAAGAACAGATTTGACCAGTACTTACTGCTGTAGTCCCAGGGCAGTTTGGAGACTGGCATTCACCACTCATCTGGTTTGGGATTAAGACATCTTCCCAGCGAGAAGGACCCTTTGAGAAAAAAACAGCATATACTTGGTGCACAAATTGTAATTCAAATGTATTCCCTAATACATTTTCTAAAATCTATTTATGCTATAAAACGATAATGAAATATGTAATCCAAAGATTTTCAAAGTAAGATACATAGACCCTGGGGGTTCTCAGGACCCTTTTGGGGGATCTGGTAAGTCAAAACCATTTTCATCAATGTACTAAGATGATATTTGGCATATTGCTCCAAACATGTATCACATGTACATGTAGTAGTTTCCCCATTGCAGTTATATTTAATTGTTTAAAAATTTAAATAATTTTCTTAAGTTCATTGCAAGTTCAGTTGATAACTTTTAAATGAAAACACACATGCAAGTCTCACTCAAAAGGACTATCTGGGGGCAGCAATGCAGCACGGGGAGGCACACCTGGAGGACCGCTGGGCACAGTCGGCAGGCTGAGCAGAGGCACCTGTATCTCCTCTCCCTCCTGAGGCCCCGTGAGAATTACAGTTAATAACTAGCAACATGTAAAGCCATAATACTAAGAAAAACAGAAGGCAGAAATTTGGTTGAGAAGAGAGTTCCACACTTTTCTGGAAATCTGCAATAGGCTGCAGCAGAGGAGGGGGCCTCTGTGCCGTGCAGGCCCACAAGGAGCCCAAAGGCTCGAGAAAAAGGAGGCGGGAGAGAAAGCAGAGTGAGACCCGGAGCAGCAAACAGGGAGAAAGTTACAATTTAATAAGCAGAAGATCCTAAAAATCTTCTAGGAAAGGTCAGATCCCCAGCTTAGAAACATAGAATGCAATGAAACTTTCTGTGCATATCACAGATACGAATTTTTCATGTGTTAATTTTTCAGGGCCCAAAAAGCACAAAAACATTTATGTAACAATTCCTATAATTGTCACATAAGTACTACTTTATCTGACAAACCCTTGTGTTGTACAAGGAAATTACAGAAAATTCATTCACAATTTTCTTCTTGATCTCAGACCATAACGAAACATACAGGTAATAAAACTGAATAGAACTCCGTTGGATATGAGAATTCAACATAAAAAAATATATGTGCTGGTTTATCCATACTACTCAAACTATTAGTATTGAATGCTATTGCTATAACCATCCTGAAAATAGAAACAAATTTCCCAGTTAATTTCTGCCATTAGAAAGCAGTTTTAACTTTGCTCCTTTCTAGTTTTAGAAAGTATAAAATGTTAATTGGTTATTCACTGCATACATTGTTTTAATAGTTGCATGGGTAAAGCATTTATAATTAACGGGCTTTATATAGGAGTAAGAAAGGTGTCAAGACCACAAGATTAACAAGGACTGCAAATCACATGGCAGCACAAGGGAGCTATGAATTAGAATGCATCAAGGAAAGAATACAAAAAAAATGTATTTCATCTCTCAAAGGTATAGAATTGGAGAAAGACATCAGAAAAAAAAAATGTCAGAACAGTGTGAAATACATGTCTTAATAAAGAATCGTGTGGCTGCTTTTTAGAAAACTTTCTCCTTTTTGTCCAGTAGTAGTTACAACCAAGAAAAATACATAAATTATTTGAGCATCTATTCAGGAGTCAGCAAACAATGGCCTTGTTGGCCAAATCCAGCCTAGGGTTTGCCTTTGTACGGCCACAACCTAAGAATGGTTTTACATTTTTAAATGGTTGAAAAGCATAAAAAGAAGAGCCTTTTGTGGCACACGAAAAGTAAATGATATTCACATTTCCATGTCCACAATGAAATTTATTGGACACGGCCATGGTTGTTCATTTATGTATTGTCTATGCTGCTTCTGCACAGCAAGGGCAAAATTGAGCTGTGGCTCCATAAGCCTAAAATATTTACTATCTGGCCCTTTATGGAAAAAGCTTGCCAATCCTTGACAGTAAATAAAATTTTCCAAGTTCATATTGAAAATACTCAAAAATATTGTAGCAGCATTTTGGCTACCATATAATCTCATTCATTTGTACAAGCAGCTGCATTCTGGGTCTCAAGTGAGAAATTACTTCAATTAAAACCTTAGTACTGTTGACCTGTGAAATCTGAGAAGGCATTGATAGAATCCAGTGATTCAAGTAGTTTGAATCAGTAAGAGAGTGGAAAATTACAACATTTGGGGATTTGTCTTGATTAATGCTACCACCAGCTGAAAATCATGAAGCAGAATATTATTTAAATACATTTATATGATGCATGTAAATCAGAAGTTCAGAAAAATGACTCAGTGGCATAATAAACAGTGATAAAAATCTATAAAATATGAGTCTTAAAATAATATTTATTCTTAAGAATTCCAGAACAAATCCACAAATCATTTTGGCTATGTCTTGTCACGTCCAATCAAGTGGAAAATTGAAGTACTTAACTAATTCTTATCCGAATATCACTCTGACAAGCTTCAGACTGGCAGTTTAAGCAAAGGTGTGGTTTTTTCCTGAATTATCTAAATCAATTCTATAATCTGTTCTTCATAGGTGGGCATATACACTGCTCCCTAAACAAATTATGTGTTATGTTTTACAAAGTATTGGCACTTACAGGTTTTGAAAAGGGTAATTTTAATAGTATTTTTACTACACTTTTACCAATTATCTCAGGTTATCATCAACTGTGTTGCATTTAAAATAGCCTCTTGGGGCTTTCCTGGTGGCACAGTGGTTGAGAGTCCGCCTGCCTATGCAGGGGACATGGGTTCGTGCCCCGGTCCGAGAGGATCCCACGTGCTGCAGAGCAGCTGGGCCCGTGGGCCATGGCTGCTGGGCCTGCGCGTCCGGAGCCTGTGCTCTGCAGCGGGAGAGGCCACAGCAGTGAGAGGCCCGCGTACCGCAAAAAAAAAAATAGCCTCTTGAATGATTCCACAAACATCTAAGTCGAATAATTAAATTTAAGGGACTAAAATTATTTTGAAAATTATACTACTGACATAATACAAGGACACCAAAACTGTCTTTAAGACAGCTACACTCAGAGGCTTCCATCCACCCTCCTAACTTTTCCTCTCAGTCTGCAATAAAATGATACAGAGAAGGAGAGTCAAAGTTCACCAACCTGTTGAATCCCAATTCCACCAATTACTAGCTATATGCTCTTGAGCAAGTTTCATGTTGCCTTTCTAAACTTAGGGTTCCTCATCTGAAAAGTGAGGGGTTAAATAGCTCCTTCACAGGGATTTCATGAAGATTAAGTGAAATAACACCTGTAAGACTGCACAGTTCCTGGTACATGTTGACTTATTTAAAAATGGCAACTGTTGAAAGCAGGATTTCTTATTTCTCAAAATAGAACTCCCCAAGTACGATTATGTTTAATTTTGTAGATAGATAAGCAATAAGATGCCAATGTCAAGGGACCAGACTTAACCCAGTGGGTTTTTCATTTCTTCCTTTTTCTCAGTTTCCAGATTACCCAACCATTCCCCAGGGGTCATTCACTTTCCAGAGCATGCTGCTTATAACTCTCTCAAAGCATGACTGATATTTCCATCAGTCATATAGTAACCTTGTTCTGCATCTTCCTCCATTTGATTTTAAGATCTGTGCTTCTAATAAAGCTAAGCAAGGTGCTGTGATTATAGCAGAGGCTCAATAATGCAATCATTTAATAGTAAGCAGGGAAAATAATAGGGAAAAGTCCTTTGAATCAATACATATCTACCAACCAAACAATACATATCTACTAAACAGCTCTTAAACTCTGTATTCTTAGAGTTTACAAAAGAGAGAAGAATCCTTTTTCTTATAGGTTTTATGGACTAGCCACAAAGACTGAGGTTGTAAATTAACTGAGCACACCCATTCAAATGAATAAAATTAAAAAGAAATATTCATACCAAATATCGGTCAGATATAAAACAAATGAATACACATATACTACTGGTGCAAATATAAAATGACACAGTCAGTCTGGAAACCTATTAAGCATTTAAAAAAAATTAAACATATAACTAACACATGGCTTGGCCATTCCACTCCTAGATAATTGACCAAGATAAATGGAAACGAGTCCACAAAAAGAATTGTATACAAATGCTCCCAACAGTTTTATTCATAATAGCCACCAACTGGAGACCACCCAAAATATGAATGGATAAACAAAATGTGGTATATCCATCCAATGGAATACTGCTCAATAATCAACAGTATTATGTTACTTATAAATGCAACACCGTGGATGATTCTCAAAATTATGTGAGGGAAGGAAGCCAAATATGAAACAGAATATATGCATGATTCTGATTATATAAAATGCAAACAAATCTATAGTGGCAAAAACAGATCACTGGTAGCTTTCGGGTGGGGGCAGAGGGTGGAATGGGCTACATAAGAGCATGAAGAATCTTTTGGAGGTGTTATGGGCTGAATTGTGCCCTCCAAAACTGCATATGTTAAAGTCTTAACCCTCTTCAGAATATGACTGTTTTGGAGATAGGGTTTTTGAAGAGGTAATTAAGTTAAAATGAGGTCATTATGGTGGACCCTAATTCAATGTGACTGGTGTCCTTAAAAGATGTCCTTAACAGATGGGATTGGGACATAGACATGCACAGAGAAAAGATCACGTGAAGGCACTGAAGAAGACAACCATCTATAAGCCAAGGCAAGAGGTCTCAATAGACACCAACCTTGCTGACAATTTAGTCTCAGATTTCTAGCCTCCAGAATTGTGAGTGAATAAAATTCTGTTGCTTAAACAACCCAGTTGGTGGTACTTTATTATGGCACCTCTAGCAAACTAATATAGGGATTATGGAAGTGTTCTCTAACTTGATTGTGATGGTGGTTTTGTGGGATTATATACTTGTCAGAACTCTTCAAACTGTACCCTTTAAATGGAGGCAGTCTATTTTACACAAACTATTTCTCAGTAAAGTGTATTGGGAAAAAACGAACTGAGAAGTTGCCAAGGAAATTCTCTGAGGGAAGGAGAATCTGTATCAAATGGTGCTTGAACAACTGAATTTCGATATCTAAATCCCTTCCTCACTCCATACAGTTTCTA